CCCCACAACCCCCCCTTCACCCCCCCGCTGTACCCGCCGCGACCGCCCTACAACCCCCCTCACCTCAACCCAAACACACCCCTCCTGCCCCCGCCTCCATCCCTAACCACAACACGCCCCACCCACCAGTCCCCCCCTCTCACCCCACCCACAACCCCCCTTCGTTCCTCCACCCCCCCCCCCCCACCCCCCACAAACCAACCCCCTTTCCCCCTACCCAACCGCCGTATTTTTGCTCCCCCCAGCCCCTCACGGGCAACATTCACACCGACCCCAAAGCGACACGATCTTAACACCCCCTGCACCCAGACCAAACCCAACCCCAAAATCAAAAAAAAAACAACACGCCCCAAAAAAAAAAACAAAAGAAAGTAGAAACAACACACAAACAACACCCGCCCCCGCCCCCCCTCAACGTCACACCACCACCACGCCCCCAACCCCCCCCCCCCCACCCCCCCCACCCCCTCCCTGCCACCACCCCTTCACACCTCCCACCCCCCCCCCCCTTCTCCCCGTTTCCCACTAGCCCCCCCCCGGCCCACCCCCTCACCGCCCCACCCCTTCCCCGCCGCCGCTCCCCAGCCCCCCCCATCACCCCCCGCTAACCCCCCCCACCCCCCCCGCCCCCGCCCCCGCCATCCCCCCCCCCCCCACCCCCCTGCCCCCCCCCCCCCTCACACCCCTCCCCCTCTCCCCATCCCCACCCTCCGCCCCCGCCCCCCACTGTCCCCCCACCCCGACGACCCCTCACTCACCCCCCCCCCTCCCCTCCGTCCCTCCCCCCCCCCCCCCGCCACCCCCCCCACACCCCCCCCTCACCCCCCCCCCCCCCTCCCCCCCCCGCCCCCCCCCCCCCTTCCTCCCCCCCACCCCCCCCCCCCCACCACTTCGCGCTCCCCACCCCCACTCCCCGCCTCCACCCCCCCCCGGCCCCCCACTCCCCCCCCCTGCCACCCTCACCCCCCCCCCTCGCCCCTATCCCCCCCCTAGAACCCCCTTCAAGCCTCCCGGGTCACCCCCCCCCCCCCCCCCCCCTCCCCCCCCCCCTACCCTCCCCCCCCCCCACCCCCGCCCCTCCCCCTCCCCCTCCCCCGCCCGCCCTGTCCCTCCCCCCCCACCCCCCCCCCCCCGCCTGCCCCCCCCCCCCGCTTGCCAACTCTCCCAATGCCGCCGCGCTTTGGTTGCGAGTACCCCCCCCCATCACCCCCCCCGCCCCCCCCAATTCCTCCCCGCCGTCCATTCTCCTTTCCCCTCTTCCCATACCACGGCTTCCCCCCCTCCCCCCACTCCCCCCGTCCCCCACAACACACAACACCCCATACCCCACCCACCCCCCCTCCCCCCTTTTCTCCGTACCCACCCCCCACCCCAACCCCACCCCCCCCCCCCCCCCCCCCGTCACCCTCCCACCCCACCCCCCCTCCTCCCACACACAGCCCCCCCGCCCCTCAACCTACACCCCAACCCCCCCCCATTTCCCCCCACTCCATCCCACCCCCCCCCACAACCCATTCCCCATCCCCCCCCCCCCACTACCCCCCACCCCCTTTTCGGCGACAACCACAATGTACCATAACAACGGCAACAAAACAAACGACAAACCAACCACAATTCTACCACACGGGGCACACCCAAGGACCCACCACAACAGCACACGGCACGACACTAATCCACCGAACACCCGGCCCCCACCCTGCCCAACCACTCATCACTCCCGAACCCCCCACATCACCCGGCACCATACAAAAAATAACCACCATAAACCCCCCAAAGGCCACCAGGACAACCCACCCACAAATACCCAAACACCCAAACAAACAACCCACCACAACCCCTTGCCACATCCCCAAAATACCGCCACTACCCACGCGTACGCCCAACCTTCAACACGAACCCCTCTAACACCCCCGGCAAAACATAGGCACTGGGCAACCCGACTATTTGACAACACAACACAAAACAAAAAACCAAAACCAATTTACAAAACGGTCAATCCAAAAAAAAAACAAAACAAAACAAAAAACCACTATATACCAAACCAACCGGCAAAGAGACAACCACATACCTGCCACGGCAACATACACTATACCAACCACGAATTACCAAACCACCACGAGCAACTGTCACCACTATATACCCCCCCAACTCCACTGCCCGCCCACAACAACACCAGTGCTTCCCCGGCAGACAGACATCATCCAACCCAACCGTCACTAATTACAACGGGCAAGACAAACTATAATTCAACCCAATACACACGCCACACCAAACACACACCCACAATAACCACACTTCCTCACCCGACCAACAATGCCACAAAATTTCCACAACCTAACATTCCCACCTGACCTCCCCAACCCACGTGCAACCGACACCACCCTCCCCCACAACACCCAACCACACCCGGGGGCCACCAGCCACCGCCCAAAACCCAAAACCCCCTTGCCCTCACCCGGTCACGCAACGGCAACTGACAACCCCTAATAACACCCCAAACCCCATAAACCCCGGCACGGCAAACTGACCAAAAAAACAAAACCAACCCCCCAACTTACCCAACCCCACGGGGCAACTGACACCCACTATTTACAACGGCACAGAGGTACTGGAGGGACACTATACACACGGAAACTGCCAACCAATTATCCACACGGCAACAGACACCACTAAAACCACGACCACCAACGGGATAACCACCGGTAAACAACTGACACATAAAAAAAACCGACTATTACAAAAACGGCAAGAACACTATTCACAGTTTCACATCACAAACGTCAACTGAAACAACCATTATTCCACACCTGTACGGCAAGATACTGCAAAAAAAATAAACCACTATATACACGGCCCGTACGCGACGTACCAAATTACCAGATACCACCGACGGCAAAAAACTGACACCAAAACCACTATTACCCGACGGCAACTGACAAAATAAACCGGGGGACACTATTAACCCTGTACGGCACTGACAACAAAAAACCCCATCTATTTTAAAATAACACGGCAAGACAACTATTCACAACGGAAAACTGACACAATTATTCACTATAAGAGAACGGCAAGACAACTATTCACCATTAAAGCGACGGCAACTAACTGACAAAATAAAAACCATAATTCACACCGGCAAGACACACTATTCACAACAACGGCAACTGACACCATTATTTCACGATCCACACGGACGGGCAAACAGACAAACCACTATAAAACCACGGGCAATCTGACCACCACTATACACGGCAAGACAAAACTATCATTTTCCACAAAGACTACAAACAGACACGATATATTCACTATACGGCAAAGACAAACCACTATTACCACACCACAACGCACGGCAAAAAACCACGTGCAAAAAACTTCAACCACCACTATACAAACCCCACCTCCCCGCATCAGCCGCGCGCCCCCACAAAAAACGCCCCCTGTTGCAACAGACCAAAAAACCACTATTTACACGGCAAGACACTAATTCACACGGAACGACACCATTATTCCAACGGACACGGAAATCACACAATAAACGCACGAGCGGCAAGAACACAATTTCACAAGACGTACAACTGACCCCATTATTCGACAACGGGCAAGACACTATTCACACGGCAAAAACTGACACCATTATTCAACACGGCCAACAGACAACCACTATAACCACGGCAACTGACAAAAAACCACTAATTACAAACGGCAAGACACTATTCCACACGTCAACTGACACCATTATTCACAAAACGTACGGCAAGAGACATAACAACCAACTATTAACCACATACCAACCACGAGCAAACTGACAACAAAAAAAAACAAAAACACAAAAAAAAACACAAAAAAAAAGCCAACAAACCACTATTTACCAACCAACCATTACAACGGCAAGAGACAACTATTCTCCACGGAAACGACACCATTATTACACACGGCAACTGACACCATTATACCAACAAACGGCAAACATTATTCACAAGAACCTAACATTAATCCACGACACGGCGACACAAACCAATCAACGAAAACCCAAAACAAAACCACACGGTGAACAAGCTCACAACGGCACGCTTTAACGGAGGCAAAAACAACACTCATTCCCGAACGACACCAAAATCCCACAAAAACCACACGCATACCAAACACAACCCACAAACAGAACACGACACACAAGAAAACAACTGATCACCACGACGGGGATCCCCCCCCCACCCAAAGTCACACATTTACAAACACGCTGAAACGAACCACGATCAAAACAACTACGATTAATAGCAAGTACACTGTCACAACAAAAAACTGACACCCAAAATATCATCACACGGCAAGACACTATTCACACGTCAACTGACACCATTATTCACACGGCAACAGACAACCACTATAACCACACGCAACTGACAAACCAACTATTAACAAACACGGCAAAGACAACTATTTCACACTCAACACAGAAAACCATTCTTTCACAACAAACAACGCAAGAGACAACCCCAACTATTACCCCACCCACGCGGCAACTGACAAATAACCACTATTACACGGCAAGACACTATTCACACGGAAACTGACATCAAAAACCATTATTCACAACGGCAAGAATTATCACACGCAAAAACCTGACCACCATTATTCACAAACCAACGGCAAACACTATTCCACAGAACGGCAAAAACTGACACAAAAAAAACCATTATATTCACCAGAATAAGCAACAACCCAACAAAGGAACCCCACCAGCACACGAGCTCAACACGAAAACACTAAAAACTGTAAACGGCAAGACATAATTCCCCCACAACGGCAACTGACACACCTATATTCACAACATCACCACCGGCAAAATCACAGCCAACCCATAATCACTAACGGCAAGACACTACAATTTACGACTGGTAAACGTCCCTAACGCGGTAAATCCGCAAGAGCTCACGGCAACACAACTGTTTAAACTTCCCAGAGGTAAAACACCACCTTTCACCTCCTCCCTTATTTATCACCTGTTTCTGTTACTATCCCCGTTTATTCTGCCGTTGTTGCTGTTGTTGGGTCTTCCCCACCCCGTTCTGCTGCCATCACAACTGCCTTCTTACCCTGCTTCACTTATTTCATCTCCAGTAATAAGGAAGAAGTGAAAAGTGTTAAGTCACTAGTGTTGTAATCTTGCTGCTGGACTGATCCCTGGCCTGCCCTCCACCCTGGGCTGCCCTCGCACCCTGGCTGCCCTCCACCCTGGCTGCCCTCCACCCTGGCTGCCCTCCACCCTGGCTGCCCTCCACCCTGGCTGCCCTCCACCCTGGCTGCCCTCCACCCTGCTCCCTCCACCTGGTTGCCCTCCACCCTGCTGCCCTCCAACCCTGCTGCCGCTCCACCCTGCCTGCCCTCCACCCTGGCTGCCCTCCACCCTGCTGCCCTCCACCCTGCTGCCCTCCACCCTGCTGCCCTCCACCCTGCTGGCCCATCCTCCCTGGCTGCCCTCCACCCTGCTGCCCTCCACCCTGGCTGCCCTCACCCTGCTGCCCCCACCCTGCCTGCCCTCCACCACTGGCTGCCCTCCCACCCTGCTGCCCTCCACCCTGCTGCCCTCCCACCCTGCTGCCCTCCATCCCTGGCTGCCCCTCCACCCTGCTGCCCTCCACCCGGCCGCCCGTCCACCCTGGGTGCCCTCCACCCTCTGGCTGCCCTCCACCCTCTGCCCTCCACACCTTGGCTGCCCCTCCACCCTGCTGGCCCTCCACCCTGCGGCCCTCCACCCTGCTGCCTCTCCACCTTGCTGCCCTCCACCCTGCTTGCCCTCCACCCTGGCTGCCCTCCTCCTGCTGCCCTCCACCCTGGGCTGCTTGCCCTCCACCCTGCTGCCCTCCACCCTGCTGCCCTTCCAACCCTGGCTGCCCTCCACCCTGCTGCCCTCGCCGACCCTGGCTGCCCCTCACACACTGCTGCCCTCCACCCTGCTGCCCTCCCACCCCTCTGCCTCCACCCTGGCTGCCCTCGCACCCTGACGCCCTCCACCCTGCTGCCCTCTCACCCTGCGCCCTCCCCCCCTGCTTGCCCTCCAGCCCTGCTGCCCTCCAACCTGCGAGGGCCCACTCCACCCCTGGCTGCCTCCACCCTGCTGCCTCCACCCTGGCTGCCCCTCCACCCTGCTGCCCTCCACCCCTGGCTGCCCTCCACCTCACCCCTGCTGCCCTCCACCCTGCTGCCCTCCACGCCTGCCTGCCCTCCACCCTGCTGCCCTCCACCCGCTGCCCTCCCACCCTGGCTTTGCCCTCCACCCTGCTGCCCTCCACCCTGGCTGCCCTCCACCCCTGCTGCCCTCCACCCCCTGGCTGCCCTCCCATCCCTGCTGCCCTCCACCCTGGCTGCCCTCTAACCCTGCTGCACCTCCACCCAGGCTGCCATCACCCTGGCTGCCCTCCATCCCTGCTGCCACCTCCACCCCTGCTGGGGGGCCCCCCCTCCCCCTGGCTGCCCACCACCTCCACCCGCTGCCTCCACCCTGCTGCCCTCACACCCTGGCTGCCCGTCCACCCTGCTGCCCTCCACCCTGGCTGCCCTCCACCCTGGCTGCCCTCACACCCTGCTGTCCTGCCACCCCTGCCTTGCTGCCCTCCACCACTGCTGCCCTCCACCCTGCTGGCCCTCCACCCTGCTGGCCCTCCACACCTGCTGCCCTCCACCCTGGCTGCCCTCCACCCCGCTGCCCTCCACTCCTGGCTGGCCCTCCACCCTGCTGCCCTCCACCCTCTGCCCTCCACCCCTGGCTGCCCCTCCACCCTGCTTCCCACCACCCCTGCTGCCCTCGACACCCTGCTGCCCACCACCCTGGCTGCCCTCCACCCTCTGCCCTCCACCCTGCGCCCTCCACCGCTGGTGCCCCTCTCACCCCTGCCTGCCCCCACCCTGCTGCCCTCCACCTTGGCTGCCCTCCACCCTGGCTGCCCTCCACCCTGCTGCCCTCCACCCTGCTGCCCTCCACCCTGGCTGCCCTCCACCCTGCTGCCCTCCACCCTGGCTGCCCTCCACCCTGCTGCCCTCCACCCAGGCTGCCTCCACCCTGCTGCCTTCCACCCTGGCTGCCCTCCACCCTGCTGCCCTCCACCCAGGCTTGCCTCCACCGCTGCCCTCCACCCTGGCTGCCTCCACACTGGCTCCCTCGCACCCTGGCTGCCCTCCACCCTGCTTGCCCTCCACGCCTGGCTGCCCTCCACCTGCTGCCCTCCACCCTGCTGCCCTCCACCCTGCTGCCCTCCACCCCTGGCTGCCCTCCACCCTGCTGCCCTCCACCCTGCTGCCCTCCACCCCTGGCTGCCCTCCACCCTGCTGCCCTCCACCCTGGCTTGCCCTCCACCCTGCTGGCCCTCCCCCCCTGGCTGCCCTCCACCCTGCTGCCCTCCACGCCTGCTGGCCTCCTCCCTGCTGCCCTCCACCCTGCTTGCCTCCACCCCTGCGCCCTCCACCTGGCTCCCCCACCCTGCTTGCCCTCCACCCTGGGCTGCCCTCCACCCTGCTGCCCTCACCCTGGTCTGCCCTCCACCCTGCTGCCCTCCACCCTGGCTGCACCCTCTACCCTGCTGCCCTCCCTGCTGCCATCCACCCTGGCTGCCCCCACCCTCTGCCCACACACCCTGCTGCCCTCCACCCTGGCTGCCCCTCCACCCTGCTGCACTCCACACTGCTGCCCTCCACCCTGGCTGCCCTCCACCCTGCTGCCCTCCACCCTGCTGCCCTCCACCCTGCTGCCCTCCACCCTGGCTGCCCTCCACCCTGCTGCCCTCCACCCTGGCTGCCCTCCAACCCTGCTGCCCTCCACCCTGCGCCCTCCACCCTGCTGCCTCCTACCCTTGCTGCCCTCCACACCCTGCTGCCATCCACCCTGGCTGCCCTCCACCCTGGCTGCCCTCCACCCTGCTGCCCTCCACCCTGGCTGCCCTCCACCCTGCTGCCCTCCACCCTGCTGCCCTCCACCCTGCTGCCCTCCACCCTGGCTGCCCTCCACCCTGCTGCCCTCCACCCTGCTGCCCTCCACCCTGCTGCCCTCCACCCTGGCTGCCCTCCACCCTGCTGCCCTCCACCCTGCTGCCCTCCACCCTGGCTGCCCTCCACCCTGCTGCCCTCCACCCTGGCTGCCCTCCACCCTGCTGCCCTCCACCCTGGCTGCCCTCCACCCTGGCTGCCCTCCACCCTGGCTGCCCTCCACCCTGCTGCCCTCCACCCTGCTGCCCTCCACCCTGCAGCCCTCCACCCTGCTGCCATCCCACCAGATGCCTCCACCCTGGCTGAGGCGCCCTCCACCCTGCTGCCCTCCACCCTGCTGTCCCTCTCACCCTGCTGCGCCTCCACCCTGCTGGCCCTCTCCACCCTGGCTCTGCCCTCCACCGCCTGCTGCCCTCTCAACCTGGCTGCCCTCCACCCTGGCGCCCTCCACCCTGCTCCCTCCACACCTGCTGCCCTCCACCCTGTCTGCCCTCCAGCCTGGAGCCCTCCACCCCTGCTGCCCTCCACCCTGGCTGCCCTCCCCCTGCTGCCCTCCACCCTGCTGCCCTCCCACTGACAGCCCTTCCACCCTGCTGCCCTCCCACCCCTGCTGCCCTCCACCTGCTGCCCACCACCCTGCTGCCCTCCACCCTGCTGCCCTCCACCCTGGCTGCCCTCCCACCCTGTGCCCTCCACCCTGCTGTGCCCTCCACCTTGGCTGCCCTCCACCCTGCTTGCCCTCAACCCTGGCGCCCTCCACCCTGCTGCCCTTCACCCTGGCTGCCCTCCACCCTGCCTAGCCACTCCCCACTCCTGGCTGGCCCTCCTCCCTGCTGCCCTCCACCCTGCTGGCCCTCCATCCCTGGCTGCCCTCCACCCTGCTGCCCCCACCCTGGCTGCCCTCCACCCTGCTGCCCTCCCACCCCTGGCCTGCCCCCACCCAGGCTGCCCTCCACCCTGCTGTGCCCTCCACCGCCTGGCTGCCCTAACACCCTGCTGGCCCTCCCACCCCTGTGCTGCCCTCCACCCTGGCTGCCCTCCACCCTGGCGGCCCTCCACCCCCTGGCTGCCTCCACCCTGCTGCCCTCCACCCTGCTGCCCTCCATCCCTGGCTGCCCTCCACCCTGCTGCCCTCCACCCTGGCTGCCCTCCACCCTGCTGCCCTCCACCCCTGGCTGCCCTCCACCCTGGCTGCCCTCCACCCTCTGCTGCCCTCCACCCTGCTGCCCTCCACCCATGCTGCCCATCCACCCTGCAGCCTCCCACCCTGGCAGCCCTCCACCTGCTAGCCCTCCACCCTGGCTGCCCTCCACCCTGCTGCCCTCCACCCTGGCTGCCCTCCACCCTGGCTGCCCTCCACCCTGGCTGCCCTCCACCCTGGCTGCCCTCCACCCTGCTGCCCTCCACCCTGGCTGCCCTCCACCCTGCTGCCCTCCACCCTGCTGCCCTCCACCCTGGCTGCCCTCCACCCTGGCTTGCCCTCCACCCTGCTCCCTCCACCCTGCTGGCCTGCAGCCCTCCAACCCTGGCTGCCCTCCACCCTGACTGCCCTCCACCCTGCTGCCCTCCACCCTGCTGCCCTCCACCCTGCTGCTCTCCACCCTGCCTGTCTTGATGCTGACTGGTCCCCTGGCTGCCCTCCACCCTGCCTGTCTTGATGCTGACTGGTCCCCTGGCTGCCCTCCACCCTGCTGCCCTCCACCCTGCCGCCCTCCACCCTGCCTGTCTTGATGTTGACTGGTCCCCTTGCTGCCCTCCACCCTGCTGCCCTCCACCCTGCCTGTCTTGATGCTGACTGGTCCCCTGGCTGCCCTCCACCCTGCTGCCCTCCACCCTGCCTGTCTTGATGCTGACTGGTCCCCTGGCTGCCCTCCACCCTAACATTGATACAATGTTATGGTCCTTGAAGGTGAGATCCTCCGACATGATCACTCCCAAGTCTTTGATGTTGGTGTTTCGCTCTATTTTGTGGCCAGAATTTGTTTTGTACTCTGATGAAGATTTAATTTCCTCGTGTTTATCATATCTGAGTAATTGAAATTTCTCATCGTTGAACTTCATATTTTTTCTGCAGCCCACTGAAAGATTTGGTTGATGTCCGC